GATTCTCCAGCCAATACTTTTTTTTGTTAATGCTTCCTTGAAATCTGCAATGTTGATGAGCTACAGAACTTTCTGCAGTGATGGACTGACTGTTCATTATCTGAGCTGCCCAGGAGGACTGCAAACAGTCACGTGACTGGTGCACACCCAAGATGCAGCTAATGCATCCAAGGAGCTGAAATTTTAAGTTCATTTGCCTTAAATTCACATTTAAGTAGCTCCATGGTGGCTGGCGGCTACTTCTCCAGGTACCACAGGTCAGTCATGGCCACTAACCATCTTTAATAATGCTTACTTACCTTCCCAGTGCTTCACATGTTAATGTAGTTAATCCTCTCAGTGACTTCCTGGGGTAGAGCTTCTGCTTGCTGTTGCTACATAACAAATTACCTCAAAGCTTAGTGTCTTAAAACGTTGATTGGTGTAAGGATCTACAGTCTGGGCAGTGTTTATGTGGACAGCTCATCTTTGCTACGTGCAACATCTCAGCATCCCTTGGCTACAGGATCCATGTCCAAGCCAACTTGTTTACTGGGGGCAAGTTGATACCTGCTACTGGTCTGTCTGTCTTTCTTTTCTTTCTTTTTTTTTTAAACCAATAGAAAGTTTTTATTAATTGGCCAGCAACTACACTGCATATTCAGGATCCCAGTGTAGCTCAGAACCTTTCTCATAGTGAGCTTTTAAACACAAAAAAACACATCCTGGGTTGACATAACTAAGTTAGCAGAAGCAGTTAGCCAGAAGCAGAACTACAGAACCAAAAAGCAAGGCTAGTACATTCTAGACTTTCCCAGAACTATGGACTTTGATGGATTAGGTCTTTGTTCTTGTTTTGGTAGGTGTTGCCTACCTGCTGGGCTCCTCATAGGCCTGAATGGTACTTCCATCATGGCGTCAGTTATGATAAGGTCTGGGAGCCAGATACAGGCATGTGGTGCACATTCAAACGTGCCTGCTGCTAATCTTTCTATGTAGACAGGTTGGGCTTCTGTATAGCAAGTGGCTGAGTGCCAAGAGCAAATGCCTAAAGATACAGGAAGTAGGAGGTCAGTCCCTTAAGGCCTGGGGTCTAACACTGACAATGCACCAACTCCCAACAAATTCTGTATCAAAAGTGAAAATTTTAAGGAGAGGAAATAGCGGCTGCACCTGTCAGTGAGAGCGGCATCTCAAAACGGGCTGTGTTTTAAAATCATTGAGGCTGCAATCAGTACTTTGCTTGTTTTGAGACAGGCTCTCTCTGGCTTTGGGCTTAAGTCCTTCTGTCCCAGTCTTCTCAGTGCTGGGATTACAGGTGTGTGCCACCCTGCCCTGGCTCAGCTGCGGTCACTCTGATTGCATTTTACGGATGAGGAAACCAAGCATTGAACATTGACATTTTGCTCACTAAAGATGAGGTGTCTCCTAAGTGGCTGAGCTGTTCCATCTTCCAGACAGCCTGAGCTTTTCATTGTTGTTGTTGTTTTTTTGACACAGGGTTTCTCTGTGTAGTTTTGCGCCTTTCCTGGAACTCACTCTGTAGACCAGGCTGGCCTCGAACTCACAGAGATCCGCCTGCCTCTGCCTCCCGAGTGCTGGGATTAAAGGCGTGCGCCACCACCGCCCGGCAGCCTGAGCTTTTAACTTCAGTGTTTTTGTAGCTCTAGAATTGCATGGCTCACAAATTTAGATTTCTATCATCTGCAGCTCTTTCATTGTACAGTAATTGAGATTAAGGAAATGGTTCTTGTTGGCAAATCACACATCTCTGTCCGTGCAGCGAGGTTACCAGATGTCAAGCGGACAGTGAGGACGTTCTCAGCCACCTGACTGAGGATTCAGACACATTGTTGGGCGGCAGTTCTGAGACGCTGCTCTCTTCCCTGCTTCCCAACTGCTAACTGATCTTCACCTTCTGACTGAAACAGGCAGTGACTGAGGAAAGCTGTTTTGCCCTCAGATGCCCCTGGGACAGGAAGTGCCTGTGTGGTAGGAGGAGGAAGGAAGAAAGGGAAGGAGGGAGGAGCAAGCAAAACAGGCAGCCAACCAACCAGTCAGCCAACCAGGCTTACGCAGAGCTATAAAGAAGTTAAATAAATGTTTCTGGTCTTGCACATATCCATGCATATGTAGATACATACATATTTTTTTTTTGGTTTTTCAAGACAGGCTTTCTCTGTGTAACTTTGTGCCTTTCCTGGAACTCGCTCTGTAGACCAGGCTGGCCTCAAACTCACAGAGATCCGCCTGGCTCTGCCTCCCAAGTGCTGAGATTAAAGGCGTGCGCCCCAGCACATCCGTACTTTTTATGTATAGATCTGCATTGCTTAGTGATAGGAATACATTGTAAGAAATACTTCATCGGACAGCAGTACACTTACTTTAACTTAGATGGTGCAGCCTACTGTCCCTTACAAGATATAGCCTATTGACCCCGGGCTATAAATGTATACAACATATTACCCTACCGAATCCTTTAGACAGTGGTATTTGTGTGTCTAACTACAAAAAGAACAGTTCAAAAAAAAGGGGGAAATTTTATAATAATCAACGAGGTCTCTATTATATGTGCAATGCATTGTTATGAAAAGTCAGGTGAAGTCTGTGTGTGTGTGTGTGTGTGTGTGTGTGTGTGTGTGTGTGTGTGCGCGCGCGTGCATGTGTTTGAGAAATAAGAAAGAAAATATGCTATCTCAAATTCTAGACGTTGCCTGATAAAGTAATGAATGCAACCATTTACAAACGGAAGAAACCGGCAGTTTCCTTCACTGCTTGAAGATAATGGATATTTCCATGTGAGAAAGAAGCTGCCCTTTGTTTCACGGGCTCCGGTTTGCACAATTACGCTTCACTTTGATACTGCTGACTGCTGTTATGGCGGGTGCTCGTGTTTTACCGAGTGACCACAGTCACACAACACTCATTCTTCTTACCAACGTGTTCTCGAGAATGCTGTCTTTCTGACTTGGCGGTTTCTTTGGCAGGGTAGGTGACACTCCCTATGTAGGAAGCTTCATTTTTATCACATCAGAGTCCGAGCTGAGACTTCATTCCAGCCAAACGCTGCGTTGTCCTTTGCTGTGCGCCCACCTGACCTCCTCCTCCTCTCGTTTGCTGCTTATTTTTCTGTGGCATTGCTCAGCCAGAGGCAGCAGGGACAGAGGCTAAGCTCCGCTCTGTAACTGGCGGCATCCTGAATTCCCGTAATCTTTTAGGCACCCCAACTCAGGTAAAATTGACCTTGGCTTTAACATGGAAAAGAATTTCAAGCCGAGCTGGTGTGAAACAGAGGCAGAGTTTATCAGGAGAACTTTTAAACAGGTTTTAAAGCAGGAGAGGTGCTCAGAAGAAAGTAACATACAGGAGCACAGGCGTGGGCCTCTTACAGGGTCTCCCGTTGTCTTTACAAGGGACACATAGAGCGCCTGGGTGGGTTTTGAAACTATTCTCTTCAGAGGGTTGCACAGGAGGTTCCTCGGGAAGGACTGGCGTGGACAGGGTTACAATTAATCAGGTGAAACTGTAGATCATTGGATACCAGAAGGTAAGCGGACTCACTGTGTAGAGTTCATAGTCTTGTTTGAGATCGCCAGAAAATAGGGGGGGCATGAGGACTAGGGTCACATACCTTCAGGCCCCAAGTCTGATTCTTTGTTATTTCAAGATAAATTATTCATCCACCTATTCATTCACCTCTCCGTCTGTCTACCCTCCAACCCCGCCCATCCATCTATCCACCCTCCCAGCTGCCCATCCACCCATCATCTATCCATCCACTCATCATCCATCCATCCACTCACTCATCGTCCACCCATCATTCATCTGTCCGTCCGTCCGTCCGTCCGTCCATCCATCTGTATGTCGGTAGCCTACACAATTGTTAGTTGTGCTGTAGTTCTTGCTTCTCATCTAGGGAGAGGCTTCAGTCAGCCTCTGAAGTGAAGAGGCTCCTTTCCTCTCCATGTTCTCATGTTTTTCCCCATGTGTCCCACACAGGTTTTCTCTGCAGTCTGTTTTCTCTCTTTCCTAGGCACTTGTCATGATGGGGTGCCCAGGCTTTCTTTGTCTTCCTTTCCAGGGGCCACGTGGCTCTTACACTGTCTGCCCTTTCAGGCTGCTTCTGGGAGAAGTCCATGTGATAGATCGAAAAGCAAACTTCGTTTTTCCAAACCACAGCTTCCTTTTTCTTGTGGACAGGCCCAAGTGCTGTTGTCTCTGAGCACACATAAATTCCTTCCACGTGACCTGATGCTACCTTCCCAGCTCCCACCTGGGAGTGGGCCAGTGTCCTTGTCCCTCTTGTCCCAGCCCCCAGCAGCAGCTCTCCACACAGCAGGCACACAGTACATGTTATTGAGATCAATGAATGACCAGATGCATGGGCTTCTATTCTTACATCTGGCCAGAAATCTGAGGCCACCCCTGTTTTTCTCCCTCTTCTTTGTGCCCTAACCATCTTAGTTCACTAAATCCCTCTGGAACATAAGCCACACGAGGACAAGATGTTTGTCTCTCTGACTCGGTGTGATGCACTTGCGTTCCTGGAAAGTGCTGGACAGGAGGGTAAGCATTTGCTACGGCAGAAATGCTTGTGTGCGTTTGACCTGCAACAATTGGTTTCATAAGAAACAGAGACATTTGGTGCTTAGATCATTGTTCCTTGTCAGAGTGCTGCTAAAAGGTGGAGCTGGGTGTTCACCCCGTGTCTCCTGAGTCCTCACACATAACTATTAAGCACTGTGCTGGAATGCCCCTAACACGTGCATGCATATTCTGTGTGGGGCACTCTACTAAAACCCTGTGCCTTCTCCATCCTGTTACAGAGATCTCATAGTTGCAGGTGGTTTTGGACTGTTTCAGCTGTAGCCTGTGATCTCACCTTTTGTCCCCATGCAGCAGGCCCCCAGACCTGTGTATAGCTTGCAGCTTTTGGAGCACACAACATTGAATGGAAATGGAAATGTTTCCAGAGGGTCATCGCAAGCATCTAACATAGCCGTGCGTCTCCCTCTCTGTAGACAACACTGGCAATCACGCGTTACACTCCCGAGCAGAAACGACTCCGTCGTCACCCACCAACAATGCTGGGAATGGACACCCGGAATATATTGCGTATGTGCTTGTCCCTGTGTTCTTCATCATGGGTCTCCTTGGTGTCCTCATCTGCCACTTGCTGAAGAAGAAAGGCTATCGGTGTACGACAGAGGCGGAACAGGAAGTTGAAGAGGAAAAAGTAGAGAAGATAGGTAAGTAACCTTTGCTTCTTTTTTTTTTTTTTTTTTAAATGGTTCAAGGAACAGATACTAAATAAAAAACTTCATTTATAATTCATTTTTTGAATGAGGAAACTGTGTATTTTCTGCAGTAATCAGCATTTGAAACCTTGCCTACATTTACTGAATACTTGCTGAGTATTTACTTCAGAGCTTGGTAGCCTTGGGCCTGTTATTCTTGCTGTGTGTATTTATTTCTAATTTTATTGACATTCACTTTAATGAGGAAAACCTCCACCTTGAAGGGTTATTGTGAAATTTTGAGACAAGGCGTTTTGGTGATTGGCACTTATAGCCACTCATAAAACTTAATCCTTGCTGCTACGTATTGAGTAAGATTCTAATAAGGATGGTAAGAACATGAAACGAGTCTCATCAGGTTTCTGGTGTTAATGTTCCGGGGGGAGTTCTGCTAAAAATCTGAGTGACTGGACTTTATCTTATTAAGTGAATGGATGTAGGCATAGCGCAGTGGAGGTGTGGCAAGAACTGGGGTTCCCATGGGAATGTCAGGGCGGCTCACCTTTTCCTCTGCATTTGAGTTGTTAGTGTTGGGATACACCCCACAGATCCTGTTTTCCCTTCCTTTCCAGTCGTGCCTTAGGGAGGTTTCCTGATGGGCCCGAGGGCTAGCCGATCACTCTCTACATCCCGCTCAGCCCTTCTGTGGCATCTTTGCAGAGAGGTGATATTTGGAGCTGGTCACCCGTGGAGCATACCCTCAGGGCCCATGGGGGAAGGTTTCTCAGTCCTTGCCAGCCTGCCGGACTGTTGATTTTTCCACCCCCACTGACCTTTGAGGCTGGGGAACACGGGCGAACATGATGAGTCACGAGCAGCGAGTGAGCAAACCAGCCCTGAGTGTTTGAGTGTTTGTCAGCAGAGCAGAACTGGTGTAGGTTGGCTCAGCCAGCACCTTCCACTGGGCCTGTCCAAACATCCCTGGGCCATGGGAGAGAAGCTTCCCTTGGGGTGCAGAGGACATTCCTGTAGGTACATGGGTGTGCCATTGCCCTCCTCGTGCATCTTCCCAAGTGGGATGCAGTGTCTCCGTTCAGTCTCTTCTTCTCCTGCTAAATAAATTATACAGATCGTTTCCAAGCAGAGGCTTGTTCCTCCTCCTGCTGACTGTCACATGTACTGCTGGTACTGAGTTCTCCAACTCAACTGAACTTGTAAACAAGTAACAAGTGCCCAAATTTAGGTATCTTGTTTAGAAGGAAAAGAGCATTTGTAAACATGGATGAATACTTACTAAGGCAGCTGAAAACATAGGTCAGTAGACCCATTTTAGACAGCAAGCCTGCAACTAGATGAAACCCAAGGACAATGGTGTTTCTTTTAGTTAGCCTTCTTCTTGTTTCCCCTGAGGGTTTAAGGTAATAAGGAGAAATAAGAACAGCGGGGACAGATATAAATACATTACTGTATTGTCATACAAAGTGAGTGGGTATTTGGTCTTGAGGAGGGATTGATGGACAGCCCTGAGCCTTTTTCTTTTGATTTTAAAATGTGTTCTGCCAAGGAACTCAAAGCTGTGACATCGGGAAGGTGGGGGCTGAAGGACCAAAGGCAGACTCTTAGCACTGTGTGAGGGTGCTTGAACTTTCTGGAAGTTGTTCGGTGAGGTCTTGGGCTCCAAGGTGAATGTCTCGAGCTCATTCTCTGCTCTTGTCGATGGTGACATTTATAATACTGTCCTGTCTTTTTCTCTTTTAGAGTTGAATGACAGTGTAAATGAAAACAGTGACACCGTTGGGCAGATTGTCCACTACATCATGAAGAATGAAGGTAGGAATATGTTTCTGTTCTCTGAGCTCTGTAATACCTCAGCTTCCAGCGTAGTCCCGACAGACGTTTGCCTCTGTGGGTGTCCGGTGGCCTCAGTGTCCATCGCAGTGGACCAGCCCTCAAGTTGATAGCTTCTGGTCAAACCATGCTTTACATGACTTTATAAAGCCTCCGTTTCCTCCCAGAGAGTGAGAGCCACACTCCTGCTTGGTACACGGCACTGTGAAATAGCACACGTGAAATGCTGAATGTCATAAGGATTTACATCTTACCTAGTTTTTGGTTTTCCACACTTAAACATTGTAAAATCTATAAAACGTAAAATTTACTGTTTTCAGGGTCCGGGGAGATGACTCAGTGGGTAAATGCTTGTTTCATGAACATGAGACATGAACTTGATCCCCAGGACCCAGGTTAGAACTGGAGAGTAGTGATAGCAAGTTCCTGTAACACAGGTGCTGGGCGGGTGGGTACAGCAGGGTCCTGGCGTGCACTGACCAACCGGTTTAGCCAATTGGTGAGCCCCAGGTTCAGTGAGACAACCTGTCTCCAAATAAGAGGAGAGTGATTGGGGAAGACACCCTTGACTTTCGGCTTCCATGTGTGCACACGTATACATACACTTTCCCATATAACACACACACACACACACACACACACACACACACACACACACACACACTTTTTACCAGTTTAACCATTTGGAGGTGGAGAATTCAGTAGCATCCGTGTCTATTCTAAGTGCTACACGAGTGTCATCACTCTTCCAGAACTTCCTCAATATCCCTGAAATATGCTTGTTTCTCTCCCTGTTCCTTCCTCCCCAAACTGCTTGAAAACGCCGCTTTGCTTCCTGCCTCTGAGGTTTGTATCTTCTGGGAAGAACTTAAGCACTAGGACTTAAGTGGTTTTTTTTTTTTTTGTTTTGTTTTTGTTTTTGGAGATAGACTCTCATGTAGTCCATGCTGACTTTGAACTCAGTATAATAGCTAAGGATGGTCCTGAACCCAGGTCATCCTTCCTCTGGGAGGCTAAATGCTGGGGTTATAGACATATGCCACTATGCTCAGACTTATGAAATGTGTTTTCAAGCCAACTTTGGAAGTGAAGAATTCAGTTGTTCTTAAATAAGTTAGGGACATTGTTCTGAATGCTGGGGGTTATCTTAATAGGTTAAGATTTTCTGTTGCTATAAGTGAGTAGCACAAGCTTGATAGTTTATAAAGAACAGAAGTTTATGTAGCTCACCATTCCAGAGGCTAGCAAGTCCACGCATGGGGCCAGCATCTGCTTGGCGTCTGGGGAGGGTCTTCATCGCTGCATTCTGACCTGGGGACCCGAAAAGACAGAGCAATCATCTCAAAAAGAACGTGCCTTTATGACAAGGCCACTCCCTCAGTAACCCATGAATCCAAGAATCCGTGAGCAGACCAGAATGTTCATTAGGGCAGAGAGCCCTCCTGACCCAGTCACCCTGAGGCCCCACCTCCAAATGCCATCAGTGTGACTTTAGGGGATCGTGTTCCTAACACATGAATGAATTTCAGGCCACACCCGAACCAGGGCAGCATCTTTGCCCTGAGTAATTTTTAAGGTCTGTGGCACTCCTTGCCCCTTCGCTGACATGCTACATGTGTGTCTCCATCAGCACATAACACCCTTCCCCCATCAGCCTTTTCTGGGACCCCCCACGCCAGTATTCAGTGAGCGTGCCCACCCCGGTCCAGCCTAAGATCTTCAGCTGTTTTCCAGCCGTGCTTATGTCTTTGGCTTAGGTCTGGTAGTTTGCTCTGGGTTCTCGCCTAATTCTCAACACACCCATGTAAAGTTGGTGTGTACTCAGTTTACAGGTGAAGCAAGGGAGGCCCCGGGGTTTAGGTTCCTGTGGTTAGTGCCTTCTGTCTAGTTCCAGCTACAGGGCCCCTTTCAACCACGCAGCGCTTTGCCTTGATTTCAGGTTTTTTTTTTTTTTGTTTTTTTTTTTGGTTTTTCGAGACAGGGTTTCTCTGTGTAGCTTTGCGCCTCTCCTGGAACTCACTTGGTAGCCCAGGCTGGCCTCGAACTCACAGAGATCTGCCTGGCTCTGCCTCCCGAGTGCTGGGATTAAAGGCATGCGCCACCACCACCGCCCGGCTTGATTTCAGTTTTGATAGTTTGAAAAAAAAAATAGGCAAACAAACTTAGACAACATAGGATTTGTCTTCCTGAGACTTCCCATCAGGGCCTAGGATTTGCCAATACTGGGTTCGCGCTCACTAGTTTATGACCTAGTCTTTTTTCATGTTGACTCTGAGCGAAAATTCTCCACTGTAAGGGACAAGCACATCGTTGTCCCAACTTGGTTTCTGTCGTTAGCCCAACTTCAAACTTTATTTCAATTTAAACTTTACTGTCACTTTCCAAAACTGGCACTCTCTACATTTATAAATTGTACCGCCGGGTGGTGGTGGTGCACGCCTTTAATCCCAGCACTCGGGAGGCAGAGGCAGGCGGATCTCTGTGAGTTTGAGGCCAGCCTGGGCTACAGAGTGAGTTCCAGGAAAGGTGCAAAGCTACACAGAGAAACCTTGTCTCGAAAAACCAAAAAAAAAAAAAAAAAAAACCCAAAAAACCATACTCCAAACTTTTCTTAAGTTAAAAGGGAATAACATGAAGCACATTCTCTCCATTAACATTTTCCCATGTTTGTTTACCACTATATCACATAGTTTTAAACATTTGCAGTATTGATATATGAGCAGCTTTCTGTCTTGAATTTTTAATTTGTCAGATGGGTAAATTGAATCTATAGTCATGATGTTTTTCAAATGAAGCAAAGCTGGGATTTAATAAGATTTAATATAGATTTAAGCCTGAGAAAGGGGTTAAAAATGAGGCCAAAGGTGTACACACTAAGAAGCCAGAGTCCCCCGGCGGCGGCGTTCTTGCTTAGGGTTTAAGCATGTGCTTTTGGTGATAGAAATCAATTTTGGCTTAGGTCACTGTCCCTCGGGGGTTGGCTCTAGCAGCTGACCTGCTGGGCAGGCACATTTTTATTGTTGTACTGTCACCGTGGCACTACATATTTCTTAAAGATTTATTTTGAAATTTTAAGTGTGTGTGTGTGCGTGAAAGAGAGAGAGAGAGAGAGAGAGAGAGAGAGAGAGAGAGAGAGAGAGAGAGAGAGAGAGGCACACATAGATAGACAGACAGACTGACTGACTGCAGATGCCTGGAAAGGCTAGAGGTGTTAGATCTCCCAGGAACTGGAGTTATAGGTGACTGTGAGCTGATCGCCATGGATGCTGGGAATCAAGCTTGAGTTCTTTGCAAGAGCGGTGTGTGCTCTTAACCACTGAGTCATATCTCCAAATCATACCATGCTTCCAACATAGGGTGTGCGGAGTTTTCCCACCCAAGCAGCTCTTCACCTCTGAATGCCAGCTCGACGGCCCATTTAGCTCACCCCTGACTCTGCCTGGGAGTGAGTGTGGTATACCACAGGCTAAGCTTAGTTCCACAAGGCTGCCCGACTTTACACGGCAGTTCTGTTCCTCTAACTTATAGGCTGAGAATCTAAGAATCCCTCCAGGCCCCTCTCCAGGTTTGCTGGTTTGCTAGAACAGCTCACAGAATTCAGGGATATACTGTTACATTTAGCAATCTGTTAAAAGGATAGAACACAGGACAAAGGATGGAAGGAGAGGCATGGGGCCAGGTATTGGGAGCCAGGGGCCCCGGGCTGAGAGCTACCGCCCTCTAATCACGGGGCCTTTTATGGACTGCACCCTGACTCACCTCATTAACATACACTCAGGTATGATCCAGTAGCTCATTATGAATAACAAAGGACACTCCTCTTTGACTCAGGAAATTTCACTCAGGAAATTCTCAGGGTTTTAAGAGCTCTTTGACACACCCACACACACACTGATCGTTTTTTTCTTCCTAATGCCAAGCATTAGAGTAACCCTAGTACCGTCTCTTAAGTTATCTTGCCCTATAGAGCTGAACTGAGCAGTGTCTGTGTGGTCAGTGGGGTTTTCGTGCGTTGTGTAGAAGTTTGGAAAGCATTAAGTGTTATTTATTAAGTGGGTACAATGTTATTCATTAAGCAGCGCTGTTTACCGTGGGAGAAAAGCCACGAGGCACAACAAAACCCACTGTAAGAGTTTATTAGGGGAAGGGAACAGAAGGGGTGTGCATAGGCCTATGGAATGACTGTGCGGGAAGAGCGGGGAGGAATAGGTGGAACCCGCTCTTAGAGGTCCACCCCCCTCCCCTATGGGCTTACGTAGCTACGCCACGCATGTTTTACTTAACAGGCTCTTGTTTTCTCAGGGAACTTTAAACGATTCTCTTATGAATGCTTATCATTATAATTTTTATTACAGCCAGCATTGGCATCTTTCCCTTTTGTTATTTTTTTCTCTTTTGTTAAGTTTGGTAAATGATGGCAAAGTACAAACTGGCCACTTACTGTCCATTTTATATAAGCCATATCCGAGACTATGTCCCTTGCTATTTCATCTTGTTATTTCTAAGGAAGCATACAAAGCTAGCCTTGTTTAAAGGAAGAGTGGTTGCTGTAGATCAGTTTGGAAGATGGAAGTCCAAGATCAGGCAGCCTCATTGATTTGACTCTGATGAGGGTCCGCTTGGCTGGGTCCCGTCTTAGTGGCCAGCAGCATGTTGGAAGCGTGGGTGAAAGGAAGAGAACACAGGTAACCAGGAAGCCAGAGAGAGAGAGAGAGAGAGAGAGAGACTCCCCCCTCCCCCCTTGTGCAGGCTAGGACTCAAATCCAGGGATTTATGCATGCTTAAGCACACACTCTGCGCTGAGCTACACCCCGCAGCCCTCTCATTTTTATACCGACCCCTTCTTGGGAACTGAGGGAGAGAGGGTACTTCAAGAGCTGTCTGAATTCTGAGGGCAGTGTCCAGTAAGTAACTTATCACCTTCACTCAATTTTCAAAGGGTGGACCACTTCCCATAGCACCACCTCCCATGTGGCCAGGGTGCTGCCATCATGTACCAAACTCCAGAGAGAATAGCATCAAAGGGTAGGTAGCCAAGGATAGCAATGGTAACACCTATAGAAGCCGTCCTGGGGACCAAGGATAGCAATGGTAACACCTACAGAAGCTGTCCTGGGGACCAAGGATAGCAATGGTAACACCTATAGAAGCCGTCCTGGGGACCAAGGATAGCAATGGTAACACCTACAGAAGCCATCCTGGGGACCAAGGATAGCAATGGTAACACCTACAGAAGCCATCCTGGGGACCAAGGATAGCAATGGTAACACCTATAGAAGCCGTCCTGGGGACCAAGGATAGCAATGGTAACACCTACAGAAGCTGTCCTGGGGACCAAGCTCTCAACACAGGTGGAGGACGAGCCACATCCAAACCAAAGCAACACCCCGGCCTGTTATCTGAAAGAAAACTATTTTCCTGACTCCTCACGAACAGTCAAAAGGGAAAATGACTTGTATCACAGGATTATGAAGTGTGTTTTGCGGAGTCAATGTGGTTTTGTTGTTGTTGCGTGGGTGGAGATATTGTGGATCTAATTTCAGTGCTTTTTTTTTTTTTTAAATAAAAAAAGCTTTTGGTTTTACATCAAAACTTGTGTTTGGCAGTGGTTTTAGACACCCTCACAGTGGTGAAGGCCAAAAAAAAAAGTACTTTTTTAGGAAAGGGGTGACATGTATAAGTATTTCTTAAAAATAACCCTCATCCTCATGGATTGCTAAAAGTTGCAGTGAGGTGTTGGAGACCATGGAGCAGCCCCAAATGAAAACAACAAGAACTTTATTCTCTCTTATACATAAGGCAACAGATATGCCAAAGGTCATAAGCAGCTATGGATCTTTGGTATCGTATTTTTATGAGGGGATGGATAGAGAACAAAAACTGGGCGGGGCTAAGAGGAAGTCAGGTTGTGAGGCACACGTAGCATGTGAATCCTTAGCTCTCAACACGTCCAGCATCAGAGTTGGAGCTAGAGGTAATTGTCCTCTGGGGATGTCATTTGAATGTAAAATGTTACATGCCACCATCTGCTCACAGGGTAAATAGTAATTCTTTTATTTTTTCCTCTCTGGAGAGTTTATCGTGGTAAGTCATGAGAACAGTGCTTTCAGACCCAGTGGAAAAGGTTAGGAGTTGGTAATAGCTTTCGGCCCTGGCAGTTAAGTAGCCAAACGACACTTGGCATTCAGAGCAGCTTTGACTGACCACTCTGTAAGAAGTAGGGACGGAGGGCGTGGGTGTGGGTCAAGCCTGCAAGCTTAGGCTCGGTTTGCTTTTGTTGACAACTCACATACTTGGGATTTTAAAGACTGAACATTGTAAGTCTAAATTAAGTCCTCCTGTGTCACATAAATTTGAATGATTTGTCCTGACTTAGGGGCTCTTGTTAGTCCAAGTGGAGAGCAAAGGCAGTCGGCCACCTGCAAAGTAAGCCTTCCCCTTTCTTCACCCGGGACGCTGGAATCTCCTCAACCTTCTTCCGGGAACTCCTCTGTGAACTGAAGGGAGGCCTGAGGTGTTACCGTGACAGCTTTTCTAACATGGTGGCTGTGATTACTCACTCACCTCATTTAATTCCTTTTCTTTTTCTCTTCAGCGAATGCAGATATTTTGAAAGCCATGGTAGCTGACAACAGCGTGGCCGATGTTGAAAGGTGAGTGTCTCTCTCCTATGGATGGAGACAGTTTTCATTTGTTCAGATGGATGCCACTGGTATTCTGCTCAGCTGGCGCTGGCCTCTAGCCTTGGCTACTGTGACGTTTGAGGTCAGGCGGGTCTTTGCTGAGAGGTACAAGGAGGACTGTTAAACAGAGTCCTTCATCTCTGCTCATTGGGTGACAGAGCGCTACCCCGCCTTCAGAGTGTGACAACCGAAAATGTCTCCACACGCTGTCAGTGTTCCTTGGGAGACCATCACCCATCGATTGGCACTCTAGGAATAGGGTCCAGAACCACTTGGTGTCGAGGGCGAGAGCTGGGGATTAGAAGATAAAGAAGACAGAAAGCTGGGACCAGGAGCTCTTGTGTAAGCCGATGGCTTGTGCCAAGCAAGTTTATTAAGAAGTGCAGCATCTTATATGCAGTTGTCATGTGAAAAATAGGATACAGTCGGTGGAAAGCGATCATACAATGGGGTGCGGTCAGCAGGAAGCCAGTCAAGGGTGTTGTACAAGGGAAACTCCAGTGCTCCACCGCTGAGCCCACAGCGGCCAGGGGACTGCTAACCACAGCTCCTTAGGTTGGGAAGCATTGAGTTCTCAGGATGAAGTTGAAGTTCCCCCAAGGCCCTGCCTCCAGGCCTTGGCTGGCTCTGCCAAGCATAGTCCTGGTTTTAGATGAGGAGCCATGCTGCTTCTCCGTACACCAGGGCCTCAGAGAAAGCTTGGATCAGCCTAGCGCCCAGCAACCCTGGTTGACAACTGTGTGTTCAAGGCTAGAGCTGGAGAAAGTGAAGTCAGTGGCTAAGAGTGAGAGCCTAGGTTCAGAGCTGTAGAGAGGTTGTGTCCTGCCTCTGTGTGGTGGGCAAGTTAACTGAGCCTGCTGAGCTCCAGATCCATTGTCTGCAAACCACTGTGCCAGTTTCATTGGATTATGACCAAGAACACAGAGCATTTGAGGTACTGAAAGACCTTTATGAACAACGACAGCTAAATGATAACCTGGTCGGTTTAGAATGCCTGCTGCCATCTGTTTGTATTACTGGTTATAGGGTATGGCTGTGGAGTACCAGATTCCATTGTAATTATCTATAGATGACGGTATGTCTAGACAAGTCTCCATTTCACTAATCAGGAGCATTGATTGGGTGCGGGATACAGTGTGGGATAGAGCAGGGCGGTCACAGATCTTGGCTCTGAAGGGATTCAGCCGGCAGGGCATAGAGATGGGTGTGTAAGGTCTTATGAGAGGTGCAGACTGGAGTTTGGGGTTTCTGGGGACCAGAAGAAGGTCAATAAGAAAGAAGTGCCACCTGTGCCGGGTGTTCCAAGCAGGTGCTGGTGTAGACAGGTCCTGTACACAGTCCAGTTGTGAATGGCAGTTTGGGTGGCCAGAGAATATGCTGCAGGAAGTGGCAGGACGTTGGATTGGGATGGAGTGGCGTGAAAAGGAGCATCTGCTTTTTGTGTGGCTTTTGCAAAGTGCACCTAACACCTCTTTAATGTGAATGTGTTTGTCAGATGTTGGATGTGCACATTAGAGGGGTCCTGTAGAACACCGGGCTGCATGCCCAGGGGGCTCTGGAGATCTAAAAACAGGACATAAAGACTCGTGTTTCCTGCCTTTGACCAGATAGCTGGTGTTCACTACATATTAGCTCCTTAGCTCCTCGGAACCTGGACTCAGGTGACTCGGGGCCTATAATTGGACTTTGTGTTCATTGGTACTTGGTAAATACTTGTTGAGTGGGTGCAGTTAGCTTGGCACCATGTATTTGAAAACCAAGCTCAGTTAACAGTCTTCCTCCAGGGAGGTCCTACTGTGTGTTTGTATTTGAACAACTTTAAGGACATAGCTAAAGAGCACTCGGGAACTTCTAGGTGTCTGGACTGTTTGGACTGCCCTCAGTTCGAGCGTGGCCCAGACTGCTTTTGAAGTGTGCTAGTCCCACTGACTGCCAGCAGCCCAGAGGCTGGTTTCTGTCAGCTATCTGTGTGGCTTTGGAGTTCTTGCTGCACATTGCAGGTATTAAGTACTGGTCTCAGGCGTGGCGGAGGGCTGACTCCTGGTCAGTCCGGCCCTGCCCTGTTAGGTTGGAGCCCTCCTTTTCTAGCATAGGCTTGGTATGTGTCTTCTGAATGTAACTGACATCTTACATCTGTAGTTCTCCTGTATATCTTTGCTAGTCTGGCCAAATGTCTTCTGGGTTCGCCAGGTGATCACCATTGTCTCTAAAACACGGTCTGTAGCTGTGGGCCTGAGTGTGGGGGCTCGACAGTTTGATTTTTTTTCTAGGTTTGGATCTCCAAATCACTTAGGTGCTATTTATTTTACTGGGTAAGATATTTGGCTTCTTTGAACTCCAATGTCTGTGGTGGTATTGTGTTCCCCAAAATATTGTGCACCCTAATAAACTTATCTGGGGTCAGAGAACAGAACAGCTACTAGATACAGAGGCCAGAAAATGGTGGCACACACGCCTTTGATCCTATCACTTGGGAGGCAGAGATCCATCCGGATCTCTGTGAGTTTAAAGTCACACTGGAAACAGTCAGGCATGGTGATTCACGCCTTTAATCCCAGGAAGTAAGCCTTTAATCCCAGAAAGCAGAAAGGTATAGAAGGCGTGAGGACCAGGAACTAGAGCTGGTTAAGCTTTTGGGCTTTGAGCAGCACAGTTCAGCTGAGAGGCATCCAGTCTGAGAAAACAGGATCAGCTGAGGAATTGGCGAGGTGAGGAAGCTGTGGCTTGTTCGGCTTCTCTGATCTTCCAGCATTCACCCCCAATACCTGGCTTAAGACCTGATAAGATCTTTGCTACAAATGTCCTCATTTTTATGATGAGGAAATTAATGCATATGCCATAAAGATCTCTGAGGATTTATTAAATTAACACATAAAACGTTCTTAGGAGACAGTTGGCTCCTATTCCAGTCAGCCACATCAGCATCTATTTCGAGCACCACTTTCTATGTCTTGACCTAAGATTTTCCTTTGATGTAATAGACAGATTGGATTCTATCTTCTGACAATCTTAAGTCTTCTGATAATTGTGGTACCCCCCTCCCCCCGCCCCATGGCACATGCCGGGCATCTTGCTTGGAGTTCCAGGCAGATGATTGGCTGTGTGTGAGCAATCAGTGTGATTGCATGGGAAGGAGGATGGGAGTATTGGAAAAGAATCTAATACTGTGAAGTCAAATTGTGTATTGACTTTGGAAACAGTGGCACATTCCCCCAGCCCATTGTTTAGAAGGAGCAGTTGTTGCGTGAGAGCCTGGGGCCGGTTCCCAAAGTTCATTTGTACCATTGAAGGTTGGTTTTGCTTAAACCTTCCTGCATCACGGGGAGCAACTGCCTTCACGGGGAATTTCGTCTAAGTAGCCATTTTTATCTTTTTTCTTTCTCTTTTTCCTCCCCACCTTCAGCCCTGTGACCCCTAGCACCCCGGGGAGCCCACCTGTGAGTCCTGGGCCCTTGTCACCAGGGGGCACCCCAGGGAAGCATGTCTGCGGCCACCATCTGCACACAGTGGGAGGTGTCGTGGAGCGGGACGTGTGCCAGCGCTGTAGGCACAAGCGATGGCACTTCATAAGACCCACCAACAAGTCCAAAGAGGGCCGGCCACGGCGTCAAGGGGAGGTCACGGTCCTCTCTGTTGGCAGGTAAGGTGTCCCTGGTGTTGCTTGTGTGGGACCTGGTTGCTGTGGTTACAGGTTTTCTACTTAACTTTTCATTTGAGGGTAAGTTCGCCTGAGCCTGGCTTCTTACATGTGTCCTGGTCTGAATCCTGGGTGTTTCTGACAGACCAGACAGCTTTTGATAGAACATGTTTTAAGGCAATTAATTACTCTCTGTAATAGCTGGAGCCCAGACTCTCAACTGTGTCCAGAACACATGCGTTTCTGTTTCTCTGGTGAGAATCTAAAACAGGTGATCAGGTCAATGTGTGGCTTTTCACACAGCTATCCAGAGCTCCAGGCCCCTTGCATTCATGACTCTGCAGGTTGTAAACAGAGTTTGTGGGGGAGACGCTCTGAAAAGGGGTTCTTAGTGAAACCGGCCTGAGGGTGGGTGATATGTATCATTTATTTGATTTACCTGCCATTGGCTCCTGTTGATCATTTGTCTTTACCAGAGTTCCCGGCAGTCAGGAAATGTCATGCTGCCATGCACCAAGAATATAGAAAGACAGATTTGGTCCAGAACTTTCCAGTCTCTGCCACTTAAGAGCCACACCAGTGACACTGAGTGCTTTCTTTGAGGTCACCTCTGCTGTGTACTGGGTACCTCAGTTCCAAAGCATCATTTCCTTGTGACCCACATGTGAGGTGAAGATCCTGCTGTTTGATGGACATGTAACCACAAGTCTCTTAGTGAGACTTGACCTGAGCAGGTCTGCAGGGGACACTTGTGTAGTTTGAGCTTATGCAGGAAGTGCATTGCCTAGGAATGTGTCACACGGGGAAAGGTCACCTCTGCGGGAGTCAGGCAAGGTAAGCGATGCAGTTAAGTTAGGACAAGTCTCTAGGGAGAGCTGCCTGGACTCATTGCATGGACCCTGATCCAGTCCTGGCTTCGCTACTTACAGACTCTTAGGTCACAGCGTGCCTCAGTTTCCCCCTGCACAAAGTGAGAAGGCAATCACACCCACCTCTCAGAGCTTCTGTCAAAACACTAAAATGGTGACTCAGTTAAAGGTTTCAGAATGGTTTGGGGCTCATAAGCATTCAAGGAACATTGGCAGTTCTAAACACTATTATTGTAATTTTCACTTGGTTGAGTCTCGTCCTGTGTTAACGGTAACCACAAGGCTGAGGAATGTCTGCCACTCACAGCAAAGCAGCGCAGCTCATGAGCAGACTTAATAAAGGTCCGCATTAAGAGGCCGAGTCATGGGACTTTATGAGTGCAGTGAACGAGAACTGAAGCTGTTAGATGGAGCACATTTTGTTTTCTCTTTGAAAATGTGTGGAAAGTTAGTTTTCTGCTCGGGTCCAGTATGCATTGGTCAGGGCTCAGAATCCACCCCCTCCTAGCTGTTGGGTACGATGGATTTTTAATTATCATAGGCTGGTTTTCACAGGACAAGTTCTCTGCTTCCCAGACTCCTCCTCTTGGTGGCTGGTGATCTCATTTTGGACAAAGAAGGAAATTTTTATTTTAGATCATTTTAAAGGAGAGTAGGCCCATATCTGTCTAAATGTTGGTGTTAGAAGACAGGATTTGGGCCGGGCGGTGGTGGCGCACGCCTTTAATCCCAGCACTCGGGAGGCAGAGCCAGGCGGATCTCTGTGAGTTCGAGGCCAGCCTGGGCTACCAAGTGAGTTCCAGGAAAGGCGCAAAGCTACACAGAGAAACCCTGTCTCGAAAAACCAAAAAAAAAAAAAAAAAGAAGACGACAGGATTTGATGGTATTGTTCTAGAAAAGCAGAGAGTAGATAACTTTGACTTTTCTCCATGGAATTCTCTTCTTTAACTTATTTCCTTTTTTCTCCAATCTTGAGTGACAGTTAACCTAAATTTGGCTTTGAGAAGCAGAAACAGCTTACAGGAGTGAAGCCACACCCCTGGGCTCCTCCGCCTGGCTGTGTGGATTTGCTCAAGGAGGTTACGTGGTGACCATCACGGTTATGTCCATCTGCGATGTAAGCCACTTTTCCCGTTCCCCGGGGTTCTGTGGTTAATGCCCATGTCACCGTTGGAAACCACAGCTCTCGGGCCACTCAGCCGTTCAGACTAAGTGTTTCCTGATGACTTTACACGCTCCGTGAACTGTCAGGGGTGGTTGCTCAGGGTCTGCCGGGGAATGCACCCCTCTTGTCCGGCAGCTGCTTGGCTGCTGTTCTCTCTTTAGTCCTAGTTTGTTGGTGTCCTCCAGGCGAGTGATTTTTATTTATTTATTTATTTTTTTACTTACAGTCCCTGCTTATTGGGAAAGCAAACCCCGTCACATCGCCCCTTTGCCTCCTCAGGTTTAGGGTCACCAAAGTGGAGCACAAGTCAAACCAGAAGGAGCGGAGAAGTCTGATGTCCGTCGGAGGGACCGAGAGTGTCAACGGCGACGTGCCCGTGACGCCCGTGAAGAGGGAACGGAGTGACACGGAGTAGCAGGTGAGCTGTGGGTTTGGGGACATGGGGGCAGAGTGTGGGAGAGGAGGGAGGAGGGGGTAGGGAGCCCTTCTGGGGTCTGTGGCCCCGTGGGGATGACATTGGAGGGGAATGAGAGGATTTCCCTGAAGCTGATGTGACTGTAGGGCAGCGAGTCCTCCTCACCGTTACTTGTCTGCCCAGCGGGGAGGAAGTCCATAGTGTCGCTCCAGCATCTTCGTACTCAAAAAAGGGTAAAATCCAGAATTTTAGGATGTACAACAAATAAGCTTTTTAAAGGGTTGGAAGCTTATTAAGTTTTCTGCTTAAAAGGAAGAAAAAAGAAAACAAAACCCCCAGGTTGGAATGGTAGTACAGGACCGTCTCAGCACTTGGGAGGCTGAGGCAGGAGGATTGTGACTTTGAGACTGGCCAGTGAGACTCTGTGTCAAACAAAATAAACAAAAGCCGCAGAGCAAAGGATGTGCGTTCCTACCGTGTTTAAGGAAATGGTGTTTGAAAAAGATTCGAACAAGCATGCCGGTGTTTTGAATTGGAGACAGTGCTCCCTCATTTATTGTATCGAGGAGAATACCCCCAGTTGGAATATTGCTCTGCAGTACTCAGTAATAACGTTATTCTGAGACCCTGTCCCCCACCAGGAGGGAACATTGCTCTTTCCTTGGGCTGTTCTGAAGCACTCAGAACTCAAGGTGACCGCTTCTCTGCTTTGTTCAGAAGTTTTCAGAGCTCTCCAATCAACCATTTCCCTGTACTGACTTCCTGTAGCTTCCTCTGACCCCTTTCTGGCTTGAGGAGCATCTGTTGTCTTTATGCCTGTTGTATGTAAAAGGACAAGGCTTGAACTTCAGCATGGAAGGGTTGTCGCGTATAAAGGATATGAGGGCAGATGACATCAGGCACGTCCTCGAACAGTACAGCGAGCTGGCAGAGCTGAGCCTGAGGCCGGGATCTGGCTGCCAGGTTCAAATCTCTCCCTGTCACTCTAACACTGAGGTTTGGGCCAGGCATGGCAGCCTTTTTATGTCTCACTGGCACATGGAGACATCACTACCTGCCTTGAGGTGACCCTGGCCATGCTGGACAGTGCTGCTGGTATCCTGAGTTAATTCGCATTTGGTGGGGGAGGGTGAGTGGAGGGGATCAAGGAGGTTTTGGTTGAAGCCTCTGATAGTCTGCAGGTCCAAAAGGCTGAAGACATTCTGGAAGTCATCTGGAGGAGCTGTGGTCCTTAACTCTCTAAGGCACGGAGGTACTGGCTCCTCTTTAGAGCTGGTTCTTGTAGGCTTGTGTTGGGAGAGATCTGGCCCCTTCCTATTTTAGGGGCTAAACGGGCTTTTTTGTTTGTTGTTTGTTTTGTTTTTTTTGTTGTTGTTGTTTTGAGATAGAATCTCTGAACTATATTCGTGCTGGCCTGGAACTTACCATGTAGCCTGGGCTGGCCTTGAACTCACAAGACCCTTCTCAGCCTCCTGCTGTGATGACCAGTGTGAGCTACCTTTCCTGGCTTAGGGACTTTCTTTAAAGAGGAAGAGCAAGGCAGAAAAGTTGGGCTTCTCAGCTGAGAGGAAGCTAGGGAAAGAGGGCGATGAAATGGTTAGTAGCAGCGGTTGCTGTTAGCTTGGAATTCTAGTTTTCTGGACCTAGTGCTGATGTCTACCATGTCATCATTATAAACGCTTCCTGACGAGGCTTACACCGTCATCCCAGACGACGAAACTGGTTGGGGGGGTGGGGTGGGAGATAGGTTATGCATCAATGGTCATGTAACCGGAGAGAAGATCCAAGCTTTGTACCCAGGTCTCTGACTGTAAGATAGAGACGATGGGCCAGACTAATCGGCCTAGGGTGCTCCCGAGAAGGAACCCTAGGCCCTAGGCCCTGGCTGGGGAATGTTACTACAGATCGTTCTAGAACTTTGTCAATTAGGGAAGCTTGTAGTCAGCTAGGCTACTGTCATAGTTTGGGTTTCTGTTGCTGTGAAAAGACACCATGACCGAGGCAACTCTTATAAAGAAACAAATAATAATTGAAGTGGCTCACTTACAGTTTCAGAGGTTCAGTCCATTATCATCATGGCGGGGAGCATGGCAGTGTGCAGGCAGGCACGATACTGGAGCTGAGAGTGCTTTATCTTGCAGGCCACAGGAAGTCAACTGACAGTCACACTGAGGGAAGCTTGAGCAAAAGAGACGTCAAAGCCCGCCCCCACAGTGACACACTTCCTCCAACAAGGCCACACCTCCTGATAGCACCACTCCCTTTCGGGGCCATTTTCTTTCAAATAACCGCAGCTACTTACATATAAATTAATTCAGAATAAACATTTAGATTTTATACTAGTCACATTTCAAATGATAGCCAAGGCTGGAGTCTGCCCTGTTGGGTGTTGCAGACATAGGACATGCCCATCACCCAGAAAAGCAGTACTGAACAAAGCTGGTGGTACCTTTGATGTTAGACGTGGACTGCTGAGTGACCTGGGTAAATCAGAGAAGCTGATCGAAGTCTCCGTCTGGGAAGGGACACACCTGTTGTTGAAGTCTTAGGTGCTGAAAGCCCAGCAAGAAAAGTGGGCTCATGCTGAGTGTGCATGTGATCACCACCCCCACCCCCAGCAGAAGTTGCCTGCTTAAGAAGCACTGCCCAGTGGCAGGCAGGAACTGACTGCAAGGGCACCCAATTGCCACACCCCGCCCTGGTTACAGCCACACCAAGGTTTAGAAAGGTTAAAGGAATTAAGATTGCTCAGCTGGCTTTCGTGGCCCGACTTCTAACTGTATCAGATTCAGGAAATTGATCTAATTACCCGAAGTCCTGACCACAGCGAACTGGTTTACAGTTTGATATTCTCTACAAGGCACACTGACTTCCTACCAGGATTACATAATTGGGTTCTACCAGAAGGCGCAAGCTCCATGATGAGTCCATTTGGAAATAAATAGTTCTTAACTGCCCATGCCTCCTTTTTATATGAAATAAAGATATTAATGCATTGATTCAAGGCAAGTGCCAAGCTAATGTCTAGGATGAAGTTGACTCTCAGTGGAGGGCAGCCATACTGTGGTGTGCTGTCCAAAAGAGTGAAATTCACCTAGTAGTCTTAAGATGGGAACATTTACTCTGAGACTCCAATTTACTGTAGTTGATTTTGAAATTAAAAAGAAAAGTTTTTATTATGGAAACTAAAAAAGAATCAAAAGCCGAGAGAATAGTAATTGAGTATTTGCAATTCGTGGAATCAGTTGAGTACCTCACTTTACGGGTGAGGTTCAGTTGAAACAACTCATTTGGAATTAATGGAGTTTAGGGTGGAACCCAGGTAGCCTGGCTTCAGCTGTCACAGACATCAACCTGGTCCAAGCACAGGTCTGGGGTTGTGACCATGCTGAATTATACAGAGTATGGACCGAGAAAAAGAAGGAAGCAATAGTCATTAGTATTTAAAATATTAGATATTAGTTAACATTTTCTTACTAATTTTCTTTTGTTTCTGAAGAAGGTATGCTCAGGACAGTTAATTGGGCTTGACTTTCAGCTGAGAAAACCTGGGAGTTTTCATCTGGGCTCAAGTCTCTGGTTCTGGACAGAGTGAGAAGATTTGCCATAAAACGTAGCAGTAGCTGGGTGTGATGATGCACGCACGCCTTTATTCCCAGTCCTCGGGAGGCAGAGGCAGGCCGATCTGTGAGCTGGAGAGCAGCCTGCTCTACATAGTGTCTTCTGGTCCTCCGTGGCTATGCAGTGAGACCCAGTCTAGGGGGGCGGGGGGAGAAAAAGTAGCTCCTAACGTAGTAAAAGGCTGACCTGTTTTTATATAGTTAGTTGACGTTAGTTGACTTAGTCTTTAAAATTGTATTTTTCCCCTTAAAGGTGTCTTGTTTAAACTAGGTTTAACCACAGTACCTTGATTTACTGTACATTCACTATAGGGTTCTTCCTCCCTGCTCCCCCCCCCACCCCAACTTCTTTCTTGTTTTTAACAGAACCTATGCTTGGGGAAGTCAGTTTCCCATATCCACAGATGCTCTGTTGTTGGATTCATCCAATATGCAACTGAAAGTCTCTCACCAAGTCCTCTGTACTGCGCACGTACACCTGTCTTCCCATGCCATGGTCCCCTAAACAACGCAGCCCGATAATGATTTACATAGCATTTACTTGCATTTGCGTTTGGTATTGTAAACAATCTAGAGATGATTTAGAATTTGCAGGAGGACATGTGCAGGTGATATGCAAATACTGTACCTTCTTATACAGGGGACTGGGCACCCACAGCTCTTCGTGTCCATGGAGGTCCTGGAGCTGACCCTTAGAGCTACCAAGGACCACTGCGTGTTCTACATAGAGCACATCAGACGGAGTAGGGTTTCTCTTTCCCTCTCTCCTTCCCTCTTTTAAAAACAAAGTCTGTTTGTCCTCTCCTTCTGCCTATCCCCTCCCTGCCCCTGTGGCTTGAACTCCTTTTGTAGCTCATTCTGACTTACATTCCGCCTGGTTTATTTTGGCAATGCCGTCAAAATGGTTTCTTCTCCCCCCCCCCCCCCCCCCCCCCGCTCCCCCACAGAAAATGTGTTTTGATTTTTCCCTTAGAAGAATGAGCTTTTGTTCTTCAAAGTTAAATAAATCGGATTGCTTTCAGTCTCCAGATGCCACAGCCTTGTCTTCATTGTCCTTGCTCTCTGGCTTGTTCTAAAAATGATGCTGCGGCTCGCATCCTCTGGTGCGCGTCTCTGAGGTGTGTCCTCCTTCCCCACTGTCTGACTGTGCCTCATGGAAAACGCCGACTTGGGAAGTTGCACAACATTTCACACATTTTTAATCTTAACTAGTTTTCAACGTTCATCCCATTTTAAAATTGGTTTTAGTGTTTTAGTTATTTTGAGTTTTTGCTGTTGAATTGTTGGAATTCTGTATAGATTCTGCATATTATCTACCTGTCACACACACACACACTATCTGTCTGTCTATCTATCTATCTATCTATCTATCTATCTATC